CACTGTGAAGACAAAAAGTAAGAAAACAAGAGAAGAAAGAGTAAGCCGTGATGGATGCAAACCATTCATGATTAGAAGCCCAAGGAAACAAAAAAGAATAAGTGAACCTATAACAAACAAAATCACTGACCACCCAACCAGAGCCTTGCAAAGCAGCACCCTCAGCATTGATCTTCTGAATCAACGATTCCAATGAGCCAAAGTTAGTATCAATTGCCCAACCCAAAGAACCTTTTGGAGGCTCACCTCCTCCTTCCTGTCATGTAAATGGAATAAGGTAAGATGCAATCCATTTCAAAGAACAATCTTCATTACATATTACTAAGATAGATTTGAAAAGGGTTTCAAAATATGAACTTACCCGAATAGGGGCAAGGTTCTGCCAAAAAATTGAGTGGTTGATATGACCTGCACGAGATAACAGTCAGTCAACATGAAAGGGACTGAATGTAATCGCTAATCGAGGAATGGAAAGGAAACAAAATGATGACCAAGGCTACAAAGAGCAATCCTAGTTACTAAGAATCATTCATCAAGCAAAATTGAGCTATGCTAGTATCTCATATCATTCCATCTAATGAAAATCGTAATAAACCGTAAAATATTCATTATCCAAAACAATAACATGGTTTTTTTAATCACTTGCCTTTTGCTAATTGCTAAAACGTAAAATCAATATCTCTAATCATTTCAAAGGATTACATTCTTAACAGTTACTAATTCCAAAATCCTATATACTTCCATACCCCTATGCAACAAGCAAGTAAATTAGGGGGATAAAATATAAAAAAAGTTTACCTCCGCCGTTGAACTTGATGGCGCTTTGCAACTTAGCGACGGTGGAAGAATCACCTTTCTGGATAGCCTCATGTAGCTGCTCCAAAGCCTTGTTATAGTTAGAGATGTAAGTTTGATGATGCTTCTGGTGATGGAGCTGCATAATCTCTCCACTGATGGCCGGCTCCAATGCGCCATAATCGTAAGGAAGTTCGGGGAGCGAGAAGGTCCGCAAGGCACAAGACTGAGTCAGCCTCGTGGAGTTGAGACCCAGGGTTAGGGTTTTCCTGGTGGCTAATGACAGAATTGCCATTTGGAGACGCTAAGATTCTTTTTCCCAAGTAGATGACACTAATAAATGCAGCCTGCAACACTGGGGAGTTTTTATACAAGGAGGGGAAGAGCTACCGTAACACGCCGGTGATCTGTATTGACAGTAGTGATATAAATTTGGGCAAATATACATCTTGGCACCTGCATTTTGTATAAGGTTTAATTTGACGTCTATTTTTTTATCCACGTCAGATAATTGAGATTGATTTCAAGGTTTAATTTGATAATTATACTTTTCTTTATCCAATTAAATACGTAAAGTTAGATTCTTAATTCAAACTGGTATCTGAATTTAACGTTTTAACCTAAATCAATACTTGTAAATTTTTAATCAATTTAAACTAAGAAATAAAATTTATATACTAATTTTAATCAAAAGTATAAGTTTAAATATCTAATTAAAATAAAAAAATTTAAATTTTAAATTAAATTTTAAAATCAAATTAAACATTAAAATTTATGTTCACCTTATAAATTTTGAATAATGCAAATTTTGACATGATATGTTTTGGTGTTATCTTTGTATTATATTTTTTCACATTGTGGTATAATTCAAGGTTGTGATTAAGCATCAACCAAACGAACTCGGTGGTAAAAGGATTACTGTTATTCTTTGAGATCTCGAGTTGGAGCACCAGAAATGTCAGTTTAAATCGTACAAATTTGATTTGAATTTTATTTTTAAAGTTTTAAATTTACTTGAATTAAAAATAAATAGTCAATTTAGCTCATTTTTAATGTATTTTTAATAGTATGAAGCGATTACAAGATAATAAATGTTTATAATTTTTTTAGCAGTTGACAATGCACACATCTTACAGACGCAACTGCTCGAACTCAGGTCCTCTGAAAAATTCAATTCGAGCCTAATTTTATTTATGAACTAATTAGAATAAATAATATATTTTCTAAAAAAATCAATTAAATTTACGAAATCTTCTTATCAAATATTAAAGAGATAAATATCAAAATTATATATTCTGATATAGCTTTGATTTTAGTTTAATTTCACACATTTTAAGAGTACATGTATTCATTTATATATATATATATAATTATTGTCATATAATATATAAATGTTAAAAGAAACCATGTTAATAATAGTTTCAGTAATTTATAAAAGTTGAATTAAATCTTTACTCGTATAATTAAACAAAACTCGTATAATGAAAATTCACCTCTTAGGGTTTTGAACTCGCAACATAGAAGAAAGAGAATGTGTCAACAAAAAAACTTTTAATGACGTGCGTTGACACGGTTTATACATAATTTTAATACACTAAAATAGTTAAATTCAAATTAAGGTACTCGAGTTTATGCTAAATTCAATAAAATCCCACTCCGCATATCTTCCCAATTACGGTGTTTTAACCCACAATATAACTAAGAAATTGATTTAATATATTGTACATATTTATTTCTGAATAAATAGGAATGTGTTGTTGAGCCCATAATATCGGCGGCGGAGTTGATGCAAAGGGAATTCAGGGTGCGATTACAGCCCACAATACGGTGGAAGTAGAAAACAATGGGTATTGGTTTAGGTTTACGCCTGTTGTTTTGTGGTAGCCACCGGGATTCCTTCAAACTATAAATGTTTTTATCACAAACATCCAGATTAGGGAAACCGAAAGTTCTGTTCTCCAATCATATAATAAAGTTAAGTTAGGATGAACTATATTAGATATTATCAAATTTTAGACGATATATTATTTAATTTTTAAGGTTTAATACAAAAAAAATAAGTGATCAAATTATATTCAGAGTTGACTTTTGGTGTTTAAAGAATTTTCGTTAAAAATAGGACTCTAACGTTTTCTCTATTACAATTTTAAGTGTCTACTGTTAAAAAACGACGTTAAGCGACACGTGTCACGTTTTAATTTTATTTTTTTGAAAAATAAACTATTATTTAAAAAATCTAAAAATGACACATGACACTTACTTTTTTTTACGATAAGCACCTAAAAGGGTAACGGATGAAATGTTACACTTATTTTAACGAAAAATTCTTTAAACACCAAAAATTAAAATTGAGTATAATTTGGGTACTTGTGTTTATATTAAGCCAACTTTTAATTGCTTCAACTATGACATTAAATTTTAATTTTGACTTAAATTATATCACTAGATCGTTAAAGTTTAACGACACAATGAATATATATTTCCACCATTATGATGACATGAACAAAACGACATCATTTTAACTCAACTATTGATACTCAAAACGTCATTTTAGACACTATAAATTGAAAAAATCTACATTGACTATAACATCCAACGATCGACCATGTATAACGAGAAAAAAACTTAGTGCCTAAAATTAAAACATTTTAAAATTTAATGGAAAATTGGTACACAAAATAAAGTTAACATAAAAGAAAATGATAAAAAATTATATCATTAACGATTTAACAATTCAGTACTACAATTGAAGTAAAAATTAAAATTTAATGGTATAATCCAATCAAATAGATATAAATCTTAAAATTCAATAATATTTAGTATAATTTATCTCAATTTTATTAGATATAAAAATTGAGTTTCGATCATATTTATGATTTAGATTCAAATTTTATTTTATTTTTTTGAGATAAATCTTAATCTTAATTCTAATCCTAATCTCATCTAAAGGGAAAAGGAACGGGGACTCAAAGGGAAGAAAATGACGTTCCTAATAAGTCTACAACTCATGATCTAAAGAAATATGAGAAAATAAAAATAAGAATTCAACATACAATCAGTCACTTGTAAGGATTTCCTCATATTAAAATTAACATACTCAAAAAATACAGTGGCCCTGCCTGATAACAAAGAAGAAAGGATAAATATTAAAATCAAACATGAATTTTAATCAAGATATTTTTTTTATTTTGATTCAATTATGAATATTTTAAAAAAATAAATACATCTATTTATTCTCATATTAAATAAATAAATTTATTTGTGCATATAATGTGTACATATGAAATAATGTTTCGTCGATAATAATTTTAGTGAGTAGAAAATTTATGTATATAATTACAAAAAAATCAAAAGCCATATAATATTGCACATCTACAAAGATTTTGTATCATAATTCACTACAGTAAGTACAATATAAACAGTAAGTAATAACCACCACTACTCATTTTAAGTTACTTTTTACTCGCATAGTAAGCACACACAAAGATGGAAGCATGGTAAAGGAATTAACAATTTGTAATAAACTAGTGTTGGATGTAAAAAAATCAGGTTCAAACTTAAGAGAAGGGCCAGTTACAAACTTGGAACATGTGTGATATTATAGTACCATGTGTATTTTATAAAATGGACATGAAAGATCTATAGGTGATTACATGAATAACATAGGTAGGTTCTGAGTTCTTATGGTGGTTTTCTTCTTGTGATGGTTTATACTTACTATGTGAACATTCTGAATGCCGAAAGGTTCGAACTTGTAAATTATGATGGGATTAAAGGAATATGTCATTTGGTACCCGATGCTTAGCTCAATTCCAAGTCTGTCCAAAATAATCTTTGGTTTATCTTGAAGCAAAAAGCCATGCTTTAAGTCTAACTGCTATTCTTAAGTATGTTGATTTCTTTGTTTTTAATGCAGCATCGAGCTTTGCACTGCCCCCCAAAATACAAATTTGTCTAAAGCAGTGGATGTTTTGTTGTTAACGTTGTTGTCTGCTGTTCTCATTTTCAGTGCAACGAGTTCCATCTTTTACTGCTAATACTTACAAGTTCCAGATAGCTAAGAACCTGACTAAACTATGTTTAGTATCGAAAAGGACAAAAACTATTTGGAAAGATTAAGGCCCCTCCTCAATCAAATCTACATCTACCATGCATGTTTCGGTATATATGAATGACATGCGTACCTTAAAATTTTCAAGCCTTGTCGAGCCAGAGAAATTGTTATCCCATTTGATTGCAAATTCTTAGTCATGTGCTCTGCAAGTGAATGCCAATCGGATTCCCCAAATGATCTTTCCGACACAGGAGATAAAAACGATTATAACGATATTGGAAGAGCAGGAGGAAGGACGTCCCTTAGTACGTTTCTGGGTTGGTTTCGTGAAATTAAGGTGACATTCTTGATCTCCTTACTTTTGCACCCAGGTGTTGATCTACTTTCTTCTTCATTCGAAGCTAAAAGACTTGAAACTTACGACAGTTGGAATTATTTAACTGTCCTTAACTTCCTAGCTACTCTAATGCTGTCTTAAGATAACATGACATGTGATAGATGTACTGCTCGCACAAGTTGTTCTCTAGATAGTGAAAGTACTATACCTGTTGTTGTACACACACACACACACTAGGCCACAGACTAGTGAAAGAAACACAAACTTACCGGTTCTCAGTAGAGCTACCTTCAGGGAGACAAATCTACTGGTTATATCTTAAAAAAACCAAATGTGATTTTATAGTACTTCATTGGATTTGTGAATCATCAAACAATGAAGAAAGTTAATACTCTTATAAACCTGCTATTCTCTACTTAGAAAATCTTCATGTTGTTATTTCTATGCAATATGAGGTAAATGGTTTCAACTTGAAAGAGGTCCGAGTTCAATGGCTCAGAAAACTAAGTCTTTTCTACTACAAGTATACATGTAGAGAATATCAGAAATGATCAGTACCTTGCTTCTGCAATGATTAATCACCAATAAACGTGAACCTTGGTTACCACCAACAAATAAAATGGAAAAAAACTACAGTTCAAAAAATGTCGGTAGAAAAATTTGTGGATTCAGACAAATATATAAATACATGATTACAGAAGCATGAAATTCTTTTCACGGATATACAGTCAAACTGAGCAGATGTAGTTCTAATACGAAAAACATCCACAAATATGTTGTTTAAGCATCTAAGCAAACAGGTGAATAACAATATACAGGTTCATGCATCCCTTGCTGACTGGGAAAATAACTTAGCCCCTCTTTGATGTTCACTTATCAGTAAGGCACAGTTACAAGCATGGATCAAATTAGCTTCACCTCTTTCTTCCTCATCCTTTGCCATTTACCATCAGTTTATAAAATGTTTTTGTGCCTGAACTTCAACAATCTATATAGAAAATCCAGTAATTGGAGAACCGAAATGCTTATTTCAGTTTCGAAGCTACAACAGATTTTGTTGAGACTTTTTGACCGCGACAGATATATTTGCTATTAGAGGCTAGTGTTTTAACTTTTAATAGACAGATGGTAGAAATACGAGTTGAATGCGATAAAAGTAATTCGGTAGATCAACTTAGGAAAGTAATTCAAGAGGACTACAAATAATAGATTTGACCGCATTCTTTTACTCATTTGACAAGTGGAGGTGCATCCACTCAGACTTCAACAATCTCCCTAATCGAGATGCTCCATTCAATTCACAGCGCATGCTTCGGTATTCTTAAAACAACCTTACTAAACTTTCCAAGAGGAAAATGGTATTTCATTTATGAGGGCAGTTACATCAAAATTTTCCGACCTCATTTTGGCTGCAGAGAGGATACTGCCTTTTTAACATGGAAACAAATTTATACAGATATTTCTAATTATTCTTGCAATATATGGCCGTCTCCATGATAGAAGACAAGTCATCTAAGGTTCAAAGTTAGTCTTAGTAATACATCCTGACCAAACGAAACAGCCTTTAAGAAAAAATTTCCCTAGCAAAAGAAGGCGTAAACAACAGTCCATTTTTTTGATACTGTTTTTCTCTTCTTCATAATTTATGGTAAGTCCAATTTTCCACCATATCAAGCAAGCCATTATTCATTCCAACTTGTTTAGAAAGTTAATTCTTGCTAGTGGTATATGATTTTGCTTTGCCTAATATCTCGTGTTCGGTTCACAGGCGATGGAGGAGCTGATACCATTGGGGAAAATCATATTCCCGTTGGTACTTTCCGGCCTGATTGTCTACTCCAAGTCGTTAATCTCAATGTTCTTTTTGGGACAGATTGGAAAGATTGAGTTAGCTGGAGGCTCACTGGCAATGGGATTTGCAAACATCACAGGCTACTCTGTAATGAAGGGTCTGGCTACAGGGATGGAACCTATATGTGGCCAGGCTTTTGGAGCCAAAAAATGGACAGTACTTAGTCAAACTTTTAAACAGACCCTCAGCCTACTATTACTTGGATCCATACCGATCATTGTATTATGGCTTAACATGGAGCCAATCCTTCTTTCACTTGGTCAGAAAAATACCTTAACATCAGTGGGAAAGGTATTTCTCATATACTCTATTCCTGAATTGGTTGCCCAGGCTCTCCTTAGTCCTTTAAGAATTTTCTTAAGAGCCCAAAATCTAAACCTACCTTTCACTCTTTCTGCAACTTTGGCCATGCTACTTCACATTCCAATCAATTATTTCCTTGTAATATATCTGGATTTGGGGGTTAAAGGTGTTGCTCTGGCCTCTGCTTGCAACACATTAAACATAAATTTGGCCTTGCTAGTATATCTGTTCTATACAGAAAGAGCAATAAAACCTTGGGATGGTCAAATGGTAACCAAATGCTATCGAGATTGGGAGTCACTAGTTTCACTCATGATTCCAAGTGCAGCATCTGTATGTTTAGAATGGTGGTGGTATGAAATAATGGTGGTAGCTTCTGGCTTAATAAAAAATCCAGAGACAAATACAGCTGCAATGGGGATTCTTATACAAACAACAGCACTCTTATATGTTTTTCCTCATTCTCTAAGCACAAGTTTATCTACGCGTATTGGGCAAGAGTTAGGTGCTCAAGAGCCTGTTCACGCAAAGCAGATAACCATTATAGGACTCATTATAGCTATGGTAGGTGGACTACTAGCTTTTGCTTTCACGATTGTAGTAAAAGACATATGGGGAAAGTTGTATACACAAGAGCCTCAGGTTTTGGCATTAACATCGGTTGTCCTACCACTTTTAGGCTTTTGTGAGCTTGGAAACTGCCCTCAGACAGCAGCTTGTGGTATCCTGATAGGTTCAGCTAGACCTAAAATGGGTGCTCGCATAAATTTTTATTCGTTTTACCTTGTTGGTTCGCTAGTTGCATATTTTGCGGTTTCCAAATTCAAGATGGGTGTTCTTGGGTTGTGGGTTGGGCTTGCTGCAGCACAAGCTACATGTACGTGTATGATGATTTGGACTCTAGTTTTCACTGACTGGAAGCACCAAGCTAGGAGAGCTAAGGAGCTGACTCAAGCCACAAGAGATCACAACAACGATTTAGAGGCTGAACTTCTAAGTTGATTCTAGTTCACCTAAGGAGCTGACTCAAACCAAAGAAGAACAAAAAAATCTAGTTAGAAGCCAATCTTCTAAGTTGCTTTTAGTTTCCTACAGTTCACAACCGCAGCCCTTTGTAACATGAGATGATCCTTTCTCAGACTTTTGTACTAGCCAAAGATCTTCATGTGACTCTTTACTGGGTTTATTTATTTTGGTCCTTTAAGTTGTTTTGTTAAGAGCAGCCTTGGCATTTAGTTTATAACATTCTTATTTCCAATTGTTCCAACCAAAGTAAATCAACCTAATATAAGAAATGACTACTCAAAAAGGAAAAGCAAAACTGGTTCAACTGAGTTGTAACATGCATTGACAAGAGTGATTGAGCTCATCTGCTAGTCACTGAAAAATCAACATGAGTAAGTTTTCATTGAGCTTTAACAACCTAATTGTGCAATATGAAACCAACACCATTGAACAGTATAGAAGATTGAACCTGGACTCCATCTCTGATCTTCAGCTTGCTACTCGATAGAGTTTGGGAAGCTTTCATGCAGACAAATCTTTGCTTCAATGCCGATGGGGACGACATCATTTTCCCTACAAGAATTCAGAGAAGGGCAACCTTAAAAGTTGCAAACGAGCATTGAAGCGAAGATTCGATAACCTAAATGATAAAATGAATAGCGCGGAAAATAATCCAAAACAGTTTATTTCTTTTTTGACGCCACGCTTGTGGTTATCCCATAACCATAAATACATACATATGCTTACCGTCAATATCATATTTTAGTTGAACAAATTAAATCTAATAGAGGTGAAAACAGATAACCGAAGTTTCTTTTTCTTCCGAAAACAAAATAAATCGAAAAGTAGTTTTTTCCTTCTTTTCCTCCCTTGCTCATCAACTCTGTGAGAGAACTCAGAACTTCGACCCTGTAATTTGGTTTCATAGGGGGGAAGCTCGGCGCAAGATTCGAAAATTTTGAGGTTTTCAAGTATGGGTACAAGTTAAAAAGCTGAAAAGGGTCGTGGATTGCATTGCATCATTGAAATTAATGGAGAATTCGGGTAACAATAACATCCTCAGATGGTTACCGTTTGTTTGGTCTTCAAGGTTCTCTTCACCAATTTTTGGGTGTGGCAAAGGTAACAAAAACGCTTCCCCTTGTCTTTGGTAAGATTTGTGTTCGAACATAAAAGAATATAGATTGTTGAGAGAGAGAGAGACCATAAAACGAACATGAACTTTACCAAAACATTAATGTCAACTCCAAGTTGTGGATGGACATATAGTAGAAACTGAATCATGTTTTCCCTGATGGTATTCTATCCTTGGAAGTAAAATTTCCATTTCACCTCTGCTCACTCAATTATATATTTTCAATCATTATTTGTTTCTGTTTTTATAGGTGATAATTTTTGTTTTCTTAACAATAATCTCTGCTAACGTTATCTTACTATAATCACTAACAAGTATGTGTTGCTCTGGCTCATTATTTTATCAACCTATGATACTAGTGCATAACTAATTCATGCTCTCATGTTATCTATTTGTTTGGATGTCTTGCTGATGCTAATTGCGGGGCTGTTCATCCATGGCAACTATGCTGCTTACAGAAATAGGTATGACTACCCGTCTAGGGATGGCAACGCGGCGGTTTCGGGCCGGGAATTGATCCCCCGTCTCCGTCCTTGTCCCCATTTAAAAAACTCGTACTCGTCTCCGCTTAAAAAATCGTGAGATTTAAACGGAAATTCTCGTCGGATAATCGGGAAAAACTGCGGGAAACGGGTAGCCCCGTTTACCTTAGATGGTTATTTTTCACCGCGGGGATCCCGTTACCGTTTAAATTTCACACGATGACATGAGTTATTTAAAAAATAATGTCATTATATCTAAACTTACTTGAAATGCCAAACACTACCAAATGCATCCAAAATATAAAAACAAAACAATTCAAATAGACAAATATAATGACAACGACTAAATCCTAATCTCCTTTACATACTTTTTTTTAATTTAAATTAAATTTATTAATATTATATATATATATATATATAATAATTATTTTTAATATTTATCGGGCCGGGTATTTGGATAATCAGGGCAGGGATTACCAAACCCGTCCCCGTCCCCGTTTAAAAATTTTGGTTTTTCCTCGTCTCCGTTTATCATCCCCGAACCCGACCCGTTTAATTCGGTTTTCTTCGACGGGTTTGGTTTTTTTGCCATCCCTAACTAGCACTGCCTCTTTGTGTTTATTTTCCTTTCAAATACTGAAGCTGTTTTCAAGGATGGTGTCTGTCTATTATTCAATCAGGCAACTGGAAAGATTATCGGAACTTGAATTGTCAGAGGAAACAGTTATCACTGCCGCATCATCATGTCGTGTTCAAATCCATAACGTGCTTCTGATTGTGTTGCGTGATGTGAGTACTAAAAATTAGACGTAAATTATGTACAATTATACACAATCGCACAAGTAATAAATAGTGAGTGAATATTATTTTCACGAGGATTGGAGGAAATTGCAAGTTAAGTTAAAGCACGAAAACTAAATTATCTAAATATAGTTAGTGATGATATTCACAAGTGAGAGTGTAGTGACAAAATGGAGTGAATGTGAATGGTATTATGGAAATATGATGGCATTAAGGCAGATGGAAATTTCGTGATAATTGAAGATGTATTTAAAATGTGAACAAATGAAAATGTCAATGCAAAATGAGTTGATAATTCATAAATAAGCAGACTTAATAACCCTCACACAACAAACTACTATGGAAATGAATTGGGGGATTTCTAAGGAACCCTAAGTCTTGCCTCTCAGAATGATTCAAGCTTCTATGGTCTATTTGCTCGACAAAGTTTACTAAGAATGTCCCTACGCTCTCTCGAGTCAAGGGAACCTGACAGATGAAAATGACACGGCAATACATCTTGGCGTGAACAGTAACATCGAACTTATTGAATCTGCACTACTCCTTTTATTCGTTGAAATCATATCCTTATCTCTAAGGTGGATTAGGTCTTAGTTAGCAGCTAAAACCCATTGCTCACGTTGATCTTCCCTTATTTTCTCTCGAACACTAAGCAATATACTTAAGAAATGAACACTATAATGCCTCCTACAATCCTAAGTAATTAAGCACAATGAGCAAAACAAATAGATAAATATAAAAACCTCAAATCATTCATTAAAGTAAGTACTCAATCATCCATAAAAACACACACCATATAATGTTTAGTTCATGGTGGAGTTTGAAATATCCATGAAAATATTCCAAACATACAACCCACTAAATCAAAAGAAAATTAAAGCATAAGGGTGGAGGACACTCCCAATGCGCATTGTCGGTTGCTCCTCGGACCACCACGAACAACACCTTAACAAGCTAGCTCCTCTCAGATGCCTAGCACGCCACTCCCTTGAGATTGACTATGGAGGAGACCCTTGAAAAGATGAAAGGGGAAAGATAGTTGGAAACTTTCTAGCTGCCTTGCTTAGCTCATTATTTCCTTCAAAGAATCCTTTCCTCATTTTAGTACTCACCTTTTCTATTTATACCAGGAGAATTTCCTAGGTTTTAGTGCAAAAATCCACATAGTACCCTAAGGTACATTCCTTTCACGTAAAGGTGGTTGAAAGGGAGAAGATGATCCTCTCCTAGGCGGTTGGTGGCAAAAAACACGTGAGTGTGTACAACTGGCAGCTCCCATGAAAATATCTTCTTCGTTTTTGTCTTTTTCTGCGCACAGGAGTTATCCCATTTTGCTTCTGCTTCATCAACTTGCACATCACCAGCAAAAGCACAACATTCTCAGTTAAATAGAACCATTTACAAATTAAAATGTCACGATAAAGCCAAACCACCAAATACATTTATATGCTCCTATATGCATCTAAATGAACTATATGCACCTTAAGACAACCAATAACTTAAGTGAAAAAGCCCTAAATATAGTCTTTTTACGGAGTTATCAGATGGCTCATGATATTACAACTGGCCAAGATTTTAAGCTTTTTTAATGGTATATAAAACTTGTACTTCAACAAAGGGAAACAAAATCAACGATGAAGCTCACTCTTTTTACCATTCGTTTGGCAGGTTGTTATTTGTCTGTAGCTCTTGTCTGCCATTGGTAGCTGTTGCTCTTTCTTCACACTTGCCTACGTTGGTAAGCAAGTTCTTCTGCCAACTGATTGGACAGTCATCATATGACTCATGGACACACACGCATAAATATACACATACGCATACGCATAGGCATACATATGCATATAAGATTTTAATTTGATAATATTGATTCATTTCATGTTATGACTGATGATTAAACAGAAGCCAAACAAATGGAAATATCCTTGATCATGAATCAATGAAAGTGATACATAGCCTAGCGGGTGCCAATTAATCACCTCAGCGATTGACACACATATGGGGCTGGGGCTGGCTGAGCCTCTCCTTACCCTTAACTCTCCCTCTCATACCTTTCCTTGTCTCAAACAATGGCTATTACACATACAAGCTTCCATTTCAAGACCCTTTATTGTCCCGAAACTTCTAGAACTGGCCACCCTCAAATGTTTGTCCAAACTTCCAATTTCCGGACATTGTAGCTGGTCACGGTCCTGCCATCTCTCGTGGTGACTTGGAACGACAGACTTTGACCATTGAGGTAACAGTTGATCTTCCAGTTTTGGCCCCAATTCCTCGACATGATTGCCATCCTGTTTTGGAACCCTTGATTGATACTGAATGGACATTTCCGGCACCCCCAACATTTGTAATGAGGACCAAATTGAAGTAAGAATGACCGTTGATTGTAAACCTGATTCCACCTTTCTTCACACAGGGGACTCTGTTTAGACCAACATGAATTTGTTATTCACATGAACTCAAATCCTTGTTTCTACTAGTACACAATTTAGTGAAAGGGTTTTCTAAATTTTAGCTTCTGAATGAAATGGGGACAATTCCGGCCCGGTATTGAGCGATTTGCAAGAAGGCTGGCTCAGCCATGTCAAAGTGTTGCAGAGGAGGATTGCAACAGCCACCATTGTCATTGGACAAAGCAAAGTTAGGCGGGTAGAAGTTGGTTGCAGTAACAGTAATCGATC